GCTAAGCGCAGAAAATATACTTTGTACACAAATGTACCTAATCTGCAAAGTTTGTTACTACCTATTGCTGGTCCTACTAATTGTGGTGCTAGTAATATGTGCTATTTAGAATTCAGGGGTCAATTCTTTATTTTATGCAGATCAAAAAATGAAAGTGGACATATACCTAGGTGGGTATAACAGGGAATATTTATTGGCTGCTACACTTTCAGTAAGGATGCTGAGTCTCAATCAGTCCCATTTTAAGAAATAGTAAAACTCACTGGAGCCCTTCCACTGCAATGATTACGAGGTGTGGCTGCCTTCACAAAGATGGGATTGTGTTAATTTTATGTCAGGGTTACTATGGAATATAGACATGTACAAAGAGAATTATAGAGGTTGCCAAACTGTGAAAATGCTAGTTGCCTGGCTGTTACACTGTTCCAATGGCTTCAAAACTTTGAGTCAGTAGCATTTTCATAAAGACATCAGAAATGGCATTCCAATATCTGAAATGTTTAAAGTAGCTTTTTTTCCCAGCACATTTTATTCAGTAACATAATATTGTATGTGACCTCATCATTTGCTTTATCTTTTAAGAAACAAAATGGAGCCATCATGGATAATTTAGGGTTTCACAGGTATTCTGCAGTGTCATTTCACTCCTCCATTGTAAGGTCACCATGAAAAATCAATGTTGAATCAATACAGAGGGATTGTTATTATAGGAAAATAAAAAGGAAAAATAATATTCTTTGCATTATATGAATTTAGTTGGGGAAAGTGGAATATGTTTGACATGTGAATAGAGAAAATATTTTGCTTTTTACATAAAGTAATAGCAAATGAGCATTCCTGTCGTAAATAGTTTCTAGTAACAGTAACACAGCTGTGCTGGCACTCATTAACACTTTTCCATCATTCAGATTCACTATGGACATCAAGGGGCTCATTTTGTAAAGGAGAGCAGATATCACTTTACTTTCTTCATTATTCTCTGCATAGTTACTATATACTATGGCCCACATTTTACAGTGAATGATATGGAGCTCGCAGTTCCCCACAGAGTTTCTTCTGCTTGACTTAATAGAGAGATCTTTGTAATTGGAGGAAAGCTAGTCAGTGACTGGGCTCTCCACCCAGAATGTTTTGTTTGTTTCCCTCCTCCAGATAATGTTTATTGTACTCCAATGGTTTCAGACTACCAAAGCCAGTGGCGTTTAATGCACATTTGTAAAGCACTCTGTTGTAGTTTATAACTGTGCATGTTTTTAAAAGCTGTATGCTGGGCATACACTTAGCAAAACTGGGCAAACGCTTTCCATTAGCTTTCAATGTACAAAGCTTTCTAATTTTGAACAACCAAACGATAGAATTATGATGAAAAAAGTGCTAAAACCCACTGCAATACCTGTGAGGAAAACAAATTCTAATATTTTCCTCCTCTAATTTTATTTCCTGGATGTTGGAAAAGAGAGTGATATCTAAGCCACAAGTGGTAGATTGCAGTGGACCTTTCATTGCTATGTCATTTTTTATTTAAAGAGTAATAGAGTCTAATATTGCAACTAAATTGCTAAGTGTATGACCAAAATGACAGTTTAGCTAAAGTAGTTATATTAATGAAAAGATACTAATTAAATGAGCTTGAACTAACCATGCACTATTCTCCAGCACTTTTAATGAAGCACATTATATAATTACTATAAGCCAAGGGCAGAAATGAATACAGTTTGACTCTGTCTCCCCATATTAGCATTATATGTCCATTAAAGTATGCTATGTATTTGGTATTTTTCAGAGTAGAGTAGGGACTGGCCAGAGAGGGATCCCTTTGATGCAGTTGGCCAGCTGGAACATGTATTGCAATACATGTGAATTAAAAATCCTTGGTTAATGCAAAGGTTTGCTAGAAATATGTAAGGGTGTATAGAAGTGTGCAAAGTGTTAAAATGGTTCTAAAGCCAAATGTTTTTTACTGTAATGCATTCCCTGGAAGTTAAAAAACATTTTATTGCTTTCTGTCCTCCCCCTTCCCTGTGTAAGGGGGAAGAGAGGGGAGGAGAGATCCAGTGCTGTCATGGCTGCATCTCGTCTCTCCTCTCTTCCTCTTCACACATGGACTTGTTAATCAAATGTAGTGAGGAGGAAGCAGGCAGCAGGACTTAGTCCCATTGTATGTGTTTATGAAGTGCGGCTCCATAGACACACACACAACTTGGGAGTGAGTATGTGTTATGTGTGTTACTATAGCAAGTGGCTATGGGGGCACACGAAGTGGAGGTCAACAGCGGGGGACCCTAGAAGAAGAGGTTTGGGGCTGCACAGAGCAAGTGAGAATAACATGTTTGTTATTTTAATTAAAACAATTTTTTACCTTTAGTGTCACTTTAATTCAGAATTTTCATTATAACAATCAAACATCTAAACTCATTTAACCATTATGAAAAAGGTAACATAAAGTTGAATTTATTTGGCAAATTTTTTGTAACCTGTTTTCCATACTGTAAATTGGGCAAACACAGTTATCGATCCCAAAACACAGTAAATAAATAAATTTAAAAAATGGGATTTCAGATGCTGAACACAACAGTTGAAAAGCTCTTTGTATATTGGCTGGCTACAGATGAGAACAAAATATTACAAAACGTGGTGTAAAAGCAGCAATGCAACCTATTTGGTTCTTTATGAATGGCCCTCCTCTTGCTGTGGAGCTCTCGGTTATATAAAGCACATTTATGGCCATATCATTCAGAAGACCTTGGCAGCATGTCTTAAGCAAGCTTTGCTTAACATTGAACATAGAATATATCTCTCCCCTGCCTCAGAGTATTCAGAAGATTACAGCTAAACCCTTTAAATACTTACAAACACTTTGCAGAAATACACAGTCAGTCAACACAGCCATTTAGAGGATTTAAAATAAAAGTCACCTTGTTCTTAGTGACTTTTCAATAAAAAAAAAAAAAAGGGAAAGAAAACAATGTACAATCTGTGTTTACAGTAGTAAAAAGGTATGTTTCTTTCTGTTAAATACTATTATGAGGAAAATGAAATGTATACAGCCTTCTATACCCTAATTATAATGGAGGAGTAAAGACCGGTCAAGTGTTACTAATGACTTCAGATACAACGTCTCTAAAAAGTTCTTCAGTTTTAGGCTAAGGGAGGAGTCTTCAGCGCTTAGTTTATGTGCAAGGCTGTTAAGGTCCATGGGGGTGTATCTGGCATGAACAACACTATACCAATAGTAAAGTCATTGAAATTCAACTTTCTCTATTACTGTTTGTAGTCATGCCTACTAATGCCTGAGATTCTTGCTGCCCTCGTTGCGATAGGAAACAAAGTTAGAACTCCATAGCTGAATTTTAGCAATTAGGTTGCCAGAGAGGTGTTCACAAATATCAAACACAATTTATATACGCTGATATTCAGCCTCAGCTCATCCATCCATTCATGAGTTGTCAAATAAGAATAATAGTACTCCAGCAGCTGAGCTTTCAATTATATACAAATACTTATCAGGTTCAGCAGTCACTGTAAGTGCCAGATCCTCATTTCTGAAGGTCTATAAATGCTTGTGTTACAACCTCCTGATCATCAGTTATTCAGGTAACTGTCCATAACAACAGCAATCGTTACATGCTGTTCCCCCTCTTCCTAGCTCTTTGGTCACTCCATTATATAGGCAGGAACTTGCACACAGTCATGGAGTTAAAAAAAGCAGCATTGTATAATACCTATTTTTTTCAGTATAGTAAAAATGATTACAATTGCCAGCTCTAGCATGCTTGAAGTATTTTGTTCTTTGACTTCTTCAGAGGAATGGAGAGGTGTTTCCAGTGACCAATCTGCACATGTGACATAACCCTTAGCCTTAGAGTGTTGGGTATGTATTAGGCTTTACTGTACATTTTAAGGGTTAGGTTAGGATTTCAGTAGGGGTTAATTGTTAAAGTGCTCATTTTAGTCGTAGAAGTAAAGTAAAGTATAGAGGGGTTACATGTTAAACAGCAGTACCTACATACCAGAATGCCACCAGGTGCCTGAAGGTGTGAATTGTCAAATCTGTAGGTATAGCTGTTAAAACATCAATATACTGTATGTGGATTTATCTTCCTCCTCCTGACCCCTACACTCTACACACTATGTTATACATTACATAAAACTAAACAAAGTATTCATCATCTCCAAAGTTGCTGGTTTTAATGAAGTTCTTCTCTAAGACTCTAAGGCTCAGGAAAATTGATAGATTTTTTTTTTGTACAGGCAAGCATATGCAATGGAAGAGTTTTTTATTATTATTATTATTATCCTTAGTGCTGAAGTTTATATGTGTCAGTGATACTGTCACTTGTGGCATAGTAATTGAGTATTCTATAGGTACATATATCTACAGCCTATACAGTGAATAGGCACACGTCCTGTTTAATCATTCTTATTTAAGCAATGTCCACTGTTAGATGAAATATACCTTTCCCACTGTTCACCATACTACACTTACCACAGAACCTCTCTTTTGTAACATGGGGTGTCCCAGATCTTTCATAATCACAGGTACAGGAAGAAGGTACATACTGTGAAACCCTCTATTGGCTGCTTCACAACACATTCAAGGTTTTAGCGGAGAGGGTGCGAGGTTGGGATAGCCCTGTCAAGCATGCTGTATTTGGCCCTGTGATCTCTAATGAGAACCCTGGGGATGGTGCAAACATTTACAGGACTGTTGATAGCTCCATGGGTTTGCAACAGTTCCCTCACTTATAGAGACTGCAGAGAGAGGAGAGAGAAAGGCAAATGCCAATAACCTGTGAAGCTAGTATACAAGTGAAAAGGAATGTGACATCACAGATCACCATTGTATCTTCTGGCTCTAACTTCAACCAACTTACCTTATTTACAAATTTCTGAATAAAGTGTACTGTGTTGCCACCTAAAGATGTCCAAAGATGTATCGAAATGTGACCAGTTCAGGTGGCTGAATGAAAAAAAAAGGCATCATCTATGGCTTGCCTAAGGGTGATTGGATAATAACCAGATAATAAAGAAATGTTATACACAGGGGTGGACTAACAACTCATGGGGCCCCCGGGCAATAGGGGATCATGGGGTCCCTGTGTTATTGCCCAAACTCAAAAAAGCCTACCAGGGGCATCTCCTGGGGCCCCCTACTGACCCCGGGCCCTCGGGCAGTGCCTGAGTTTCCAAATGGTCAGTCTGCCCCTGGTTATACAGTATGTGACAGAATTGATGCTACTGGCAATTAGTCACACAAGGAAGATTATCCTTCAAGACTGATTACAAATTAGATTTACAATAAATTCCTGTCCCACTGACAGATAATCACCAGAGCAGGTCTTGTGACAATGAAAGCAATAGAACAATGACCAGTAACACTTGGGAATGCAATCTGAAAAATGTTTGAGCATGAATTTAACTGCAGAAGTATTATACACTGCAGCTTAGGACTGAACAATCAGCCCCTACTTGGCTTATGTGTGGTCTGTAGCTGAATTTGGTTTTGTGTCTGCATTTTGTCAGTGAGACAAAATGAACAGCTGTCAGCTGGGGCTTTCTATTAACACCCTCGTCAAACATTTTGCAGTGAAACTTCTTCAGTATAGCATTTACATTTTGACTGAGTTGGCACCACACAATTTTGACACCGACACCCCAAAAAGGTCTTTGCAATACTCTAGTTTAATAGGACAGTGAACATTGATGGGCCTGTCAGGAGTTATGTGGATACAGGGACTGGCATTCGAATAAGCCTAAGATGTCAGGTTTCTCAGTCTAGCCCTTAAAAGGCTGGAATAATATAAAATCGAATTATGCTAATCAGATGTTCCTATAACCTTAAATAAATCAGTTTTTCTCATTTAAATTGGCAAAAATCCTCAGACATGAAATGATATCACTAGAAAGCTGTAGATCCATTGAATATTTAGATATCATTTGACCTACTTCAACTTATAAATAGATACTATGTGGAAACACCTTAAGGGAGAGCTAATAAAAGAGGCAGTAGTAAGGGGCAAGTAGGTCGCATTTTAGTTGTACTCTAGAGTAATAAATTCTAACATTGTTATGTGACTGTGATCCAGGATTATCCATATAGATAGAACGAGAATTAGGCGATTTGATTTTATTTCTATTATGGTAAGTGTGCTTTAGGGCTCGTTCACACTTGACTGTTCTACCAACACTTGCCAAACACCCCTATAGCGTTTGGCAAGCGTTGGTCCAGCATTTGCGGAGCATTTTTTAACGCTCCGCAAACGCCACATGCGCGGTTTAGCGGCAGTTGCTAGGCATTTGCCGAGCGTTAAAAAACGTCCCACAAATGCCTATAATGAAGTTTGAATGGTGTTACCGCTCCCCAAACACCCCGCAACCGAGTCGCAACCGCACCGCAATTGCCGGCCAGGCGTTTGCAGAGCGGCACCATAGATCAGAATAGGAGGCTTCAATGCCTCCTGACTCAATCAGAGGCATCAGTTTTGCCGCGACGCTAACACTCCTGTTAGAACAGCACCATGTGCTGCAACGTGCAGAATTGTCAGAGGCGTTTGGGAAGCGGTAAAAATGCTTCCCAAACGCCTCTCTGCCACCTGCACACAACGCTAGTGTAAACGTAGCCTTAGAGTATAGATTTTGTTATACTTATCTCCATTTAGTTGTCTGAAAGTTGAAACTCATAGAAATAAAAAAACAGAACAATATTGTTGACTGTGTTCCTACTGGGGAGAATTATTTTCACTTTCTCCACACTGGAAGTGAGGGAAAATTTTCCCAACTGTGAGACCAGTATTATCATTATTATTATTAATAATAATATACAGGATTTATATAGCGCTAATAGTTTGCTCAGTGCTTTACAAAATAAAGGGGGACAATACAGAAACAATACAGTTCAATACAAGAGGGTTAGGAGGGCCCTGCTCCTTGGAGCTTACAATCAAAGAGGAAGGGGCTGGTGGTACAAAAGGTAATAACTGTGGGGGATGGACTGGTAGAAGGAATAGAAGATACCATTATTAGCTGAAGGCAGGATAGGCTTCCCTGAAGAGATAGGTTTTCAGAGATTGCCTAAAAGTGGGCAGAGTAGGCGATAGTCTGATAGGTTGGGGTAGAGAATTCCAGAGGAGACTCTAGAGAAGCCCTGGAGACGAGCATGGGAAGAAGAAACAAGTGAGCTAGAGAGCTGGAGGTCGTGGGAGGAGTGGAGAGGATGGTTTGGGTGATATTTGGAGACAAGATTGGTGATGTAATTTGGGGCAAAGTTATAAATGGTTTTATATGTGATTGTTAATGTTTTGAATTTTGACCAGTAAAATCCTCATACCTCATTTTCTACTCTCTATTCTCTCTCCACTCTCTCCAAATTTAAAATTGGGGCTACACAAAAAAAATGCTGTCCTACCACATTTTATGGCAACTCTCTGCCAGGACTGCAGATTGGCTGCAGGCCAATTTCCAACCTGGGAGGAGTATGCTTTAAAGAAGAGGGACACAAGATAACTATTCTATAGTATGTTCTAAGGAACATACTGGAATAATGTGATTTTTTTAAAAAGAAGATATAGAGTAAAAACACAGTGAGTGCTCCTGATGAAGCAGCTATTGCACTAAGGCAGTGTTTCTCAACTCCAGTCCTCATGGACCCCCAACAGGTCATGTTTTCAGGATTTCCCTCAGATGAAACAGCTGTGGTAATTACTAAGGCAGTGAAACTGATCAAATCACCTGTGCAAAATAATGGAAATCCTGAAAACATGACCTGTTGGGGGTCCATGAGGACTGGAGTTGAGAAACACTGCACTAAGGTAACCAGAAAAAACCTCAAAACAAATATATAACAGGAGTGCAGGGTTAGGATCTAAATGAAAGGCTAAATCAATAAATTATAATGAATAATAAATAATAGAAAAAGTTCATAAAATGTAAAAAGTTCAATTTTATGCAGCGATAATTAAGTACTTGTGCTTTGCAGGTATAGTAAGAATGCGCACTCACCAGATGCGCATTGAATATGCGCATATAAATATATCCAACATGGTCCACCTTAGGGAATGGGATATGCCAGTCAAAGAGCTTCTGCTGGGCTATATAATACCCTGAAGGAGGTTAACCACATGCCTGGCATAGTCCGTTCCCTAAGGTGGACCATGTTGGATATATTTATATGCGCATATTCAATGCACATCTGGTGAGTGCGCATTCTTACTATACCTTCAAAGCACAAGCACTTAATTATCACTGCAGTTGGGATCCTGTATCACCATTATCATTATATGAACTTTTTAAATTTTATGAACTTTTCTATTTATTATTCATTATAATTTATTGTCAGACGCTGGTGCATTGGGTTCTGAGTTCCTCCTGGTGCACAACAATGCCCGGCCTCACGTGGCGAGAGTATGCAAACAGTTCCTGGAGGATGAAGGAATTGATACCATTGAATGGCCCCCATGCTCGCCTAACCTAAATCCAACAGAACACCTCATCATGTTTTTGCCCCATCCAATGTCGCCAGGTTGCACATCAGGCTGTCCAGGAGCTCAGTGATGCCCTGGTCCATATCTAGGAGGAAATACTCCAGGACACCATCTGTCGTCTCATTAGGAGCATGCCACGACATTGTCAGGCATGCATACAAGCACGTGGGGCCATACAAACTACTAAGTACTATTTTGAGTTGCTGCAATAAAATTTCAACAAAATGGACTAGCCTGCTGCATCATTTTTTTCAGTTTCATTTTCAGGTTGTCTTTGAATTCAGTCCTCTGTAGGTTGATCATTTTCATTTCCATCAAATGATGGGGCATCCTTACATTCCTAACACATTACCCAGTCCATATCAGTATAGATCTCCAGCATGATATTTTTCCCTATTGAGATCTGATGTGTTTTCAAAGTGTTTGTTTAATCTTTTTGAGCAGTGTACTTTGCCTTAAGGAAATGGGTTGACCATACATGGTTACGTGTAACTGCTAATGTAACAATGAGATACATGTCCCTAAAAGAAGGTTATTGGTGTTCCAAATGTTATCCAGCTTTAAAGTTTGATGTACTCCAGCTTACTTTGATGGTCTTGTCCCTTTAGGAACATTCCCCTTCTGGTTATTACTATCTAGCATTGAACTCACAAAAGTGTGTGCACACAGCCCGGTTTATATGGAAAAGTGTTTAGCCTGCATACAAATGCACATTTTCTTTTAGTGAATCAGACATATTTTAATAAATTATGGTAAATTGAACAAAGAAGACTCTGAACAAAGTTTTCAAATGCAAAGAAGTTACACTGAAAACAAAGATCAGACTTGTCTATTATTTCATTTTTTCAGTTGTCAATTATGGTTGTGAAAGCTGGATACTACATAAACAGAATGGAAAGAAGATCGACTCATTTGAGCTTTGGTGCTGGAGAAGGATTTTATGTGTGCCCTGGACAGCCCATAGAACTAATAGATTGATTTTGGAAGAAATCAAACCGGCTATGACACTAGAAGCCCAGATGATGAAGCTGTGACTGTCATATTTTATTCACACTGTCAGAACAGAGAGATCACTGGAGAAGGAAATGACATTTTTGAAAATTGAAGGAACCAGGCAAGGAGGGAGACTGACTACTAGGTGGATGGACATATTGACTACAGCTGTGGGAATGACACTGGAGAATCCCGCCAGACTTCTTTTTAGAGCTCTTATTCATCAAGTCATTAGGACTTGGACTCGGAGTTGATGGAAATAAAGAACATAATACATATATAAACGTTGAGATTTTCACATGGTTTACTGGGGATATGGATGAAGCAATTAGTCATAAACCTGGTATCTTTTTTTTCAGCCAATGGCTGGATTTCTCATCAAAGTGGTCCGATTGGCTCATTATTCACTGGAATGCTTTCAGTACCCGAACAATTATACGACAGTGTGGCCAGCTGCTGCTACAGGCGATGAGAGACTCTATGGTCTCTCATCACCTCTATGTTGTTGGAGAACCGAAGAGAACCATCATTATGTCATTATGTCACATCTGTTCCAGTCTGGGCCAGATGGAAACAGTTTTACAAATATGTAAGTCACATACGCATATGTAAATGGTGTTCGCAGCACACATGTGAGGTATCACCATAAAGTTTAGAACAAGAGCAATAATTCTAGTGCTAGATCCCCTCTGTAACTCTAAACATGTAACCTGTAAAAAATGTTAAAGCATTACCTATGGAGAATT